CCGCCTGCATACCTGGTGTCCTTGGTCGCCACAAAAACGACGGGGTTGGGGGCGTCGGCCGGGTTCAGCTTCTGACGTTTCAGGGCAGGCTGACTGCTTGACCTCATGCCAGACGTTAGGGGCCGCCCATTGGCCGAGAAGGGGAGCCCGCCCCCTGCCACCTGCGCCCGGTCGCACACAGAGCTATCAGCGAGAGGAACACCCCCCCCACACAAAGCAGTGTCTACCTCTTGCTTGCCCCCCCGCCCACCTAGCCTCACCCCCCGCCCTCCCACTTCAGACCCGCCTCCTCCTGAGTTGCCAGACAAGGGGGGTGATGGGACAGCGGTGGGATTCGAAGGGATTGAAGAACCGGCGGTCCTCTGGCCTCAAAACTGCTCAGAGAGTTTAACAACCGGGTCGCTTGAACCGGTGTGAACCGGCTGAATCCCACCACTAGGATGGGGGCAGCCAAGATTTGGGTTGAATATAATACAGGTGGCTGTATTTTAAAATGGACAAAAGTGGATGATTCCCACTTTCTGTCGAGACGGAATGAGCAACTACGGGAAGGAGAAAAACCCGCCTAGATGGGCTCCCAAAGTGCAGCCGAAGGACGTGGAGGGTTGTTACTGCGGGCCGCTTCTCCCCTTGCTGGCTTTCCGAAACTCGGGATTGTTTTTCCCTCGTTAAATAAAAGCCTCCCCACCCTCCTCTCCTCCCACACAAACTCCCCCCACCCCCTTCCCAGGCATGTCGGCTCGCAGCTCAGCGACTCACGTTCTCGAAAGTCCGCTTGCCCACGATGCCAGCCAAACCTCGGTTCTGGGTCAGCTGATTCCTGTTGATGGGCGTCTTGCTGCCCCGAGGAGTTCGGGGTTTCAGGGGTGCCTGAGCGGCTGAGAAAAAGACAAAGAAGGATGCTGAAGGTGCCTTCCTATCTTCTCTCCTTCCTTTCTTTTTTCTATCTCTCGCACTCTTTCTTGCTTTTGGTTCCTTCCTTCCTTTCCTCCCTTTTCTTCCCTCCTCCCATCCATCCATCCATTCTTCTCCCTCCTTTCCCACTATACTTGGTCCCTTCTCCTCCCTCTTTCCCTGACCTCCTTCCTTCCTTCCATTTTCTTTCTCTTGTGCACTTTTTTGCTCTTTCTTTCTTGCCTTTTTGTTCCTTCCTTCGTTTCCTCCATCTTTCTCCCTCCCCTCCCTCCCATCCATCTTCCTTCTTTCCGATTGTACCTGGTCCCTTCTCCTCCCTCTTTCCCTGACCTCCTTCCCTCCTTCCCTTTTCTTTCTCTTGTGCACTTTTTTGCTCTTTCTTTCTTGCCTTTTTGTTCCTTCCTTCCTTTGTTTCCTCCATCTTTCTCCCTCCCCTCCCTCTTCCTTCTTTCCGATTGTACCTGGTCCCTTCTCCTCCCTCTTTCCCTGACCTCCTTCCCTTCTTCTTTTCTTTCTTTCTCTTTCTTTGTCTCTCATCTTTTTGTTCCTTCCTTCCTCTCCTCCCTTCCTCGGTCCCTTCTTCCTTCCTTCCTTCCCTCCGTTCCATCCATCCATCCATCCACCACCTTCTCCTTCCCGATTCTACCCGACCTTCCTTCCTTCGAAGGAAATAAGATGGGGACGTGCGTGCGAATCTCCTTTCGCTAACACTTGTCCAGGAAAGCGAGGAAGAGATTCCCACCTCAAGAGAGAGCCAATCGCACGCAGGGGCCCCTTACCCAGCTCCTTGATAATGGTCGCCAGAGGAAGACGGGCCGAAGGGTGGATCTTCAGGGGCGTCTTGGCCGCCTTGGGAAGCCGGATCGAACCTGGAGGGGAAGGAAGAGCCACACCTTATTTAACAGACCCCACCCTTCTTCCTGCCCATCACTTCCCCCCCTCCCACTCCCTCCCCCACCTACACTCAGCCTTGATGGCGTTGGAGTTGATGGGCGCGTAAGGGCGCCGGGCGGCCCGCCGCGGCTGCAAGATATCCCGGCACATGCGCCGGGCGATGCGGGTCAGTTTGGTGGTCTGCAGAAGGAAAGTCTGGCGGTTTTTCGCCAGCAACTTGGCCCGGTTGGCGCTGGTGGTGTACGGCGAAAGGCTCTGGGCTTCTGGCCGAGACGTGTGGCCCCGAGAGTGGGGCTCCTGAGGAGGAGGAGGGAAGGATGGCGTAAGGGGCGCAGAGGAGAAGGTTGGTCCACTGGCAAAAGCAACACGCTACAAACTGGGAGACGGGGAGTTCTAGTCCCGCCTTAGCCATGAAAGCCAATGGGGTGACTTTGGGCCAATCACCAGGAGACGGTGAGTTCTAGTCCCACCTTAGGTATGAAAGCCAATTGGGTGACTTTGGGCCAATCACCAGGAGATGGTGAGTTCTAGTCCCGCCTTAGGCATGAAAGCCAATTGGGTGACTTTGGGCCAACCACCAGGAGACGGTGAGTTCTAGTCCCGCCTTAGGCATGAAAGCCAATTGGGTGACTTTGGGCCAATCACCAGGAGATGGTGAGTTCTAGTCCCGCCTTAGGTATGAAAGCCAATTG